TCGAGCGATCGTGTGCCACGCCTCTTGCTAGGCCTGGTAGGGGTTCGTGCTGCATATGTGCATGGGAGAGGGCGAAGAGATTGGAGAGAGTGCAGACAAGCTAGCTGCCGAAGTGGCGCGAAACCCTCGCGGTGTGGACACCCGACATGCCAGTTTCGGCCTGGTTGGGATTGGGGCAGACTGTACCTTGGCTTTTCCTCATTTTAGAAACTGTAGGCCACAACATGTTTTCTGACTTAAAATATCCGTCAAATATCGCTTTTCCCAAATAATCAGGCTCTTTTATACAAAAGAGAAATTACTGCATATTCAAGCAATCATTACAAAGAGCTTGAAGAACCCTTTTGAACGGTTATATGTAAAAATCTCCTTTGTGGTACAGCAGCACAAATTTGGATGGCGTTCAATAAGTCTGTCTGACTTCTATAACGCACCGCTCAAAGGATTAGGAGAGGAGTTGCAAGCTGCTGTTAGGACAATATGCGATGATCATCATACACACAACCGTTTACATCACTGGTTCATCGTTAATTAGAGAAAACCTTTCAGTAAAAAACCTTGAGGTGCCCCATCACTTTTGGATGCAGTATATAAGAACTGTCGTAAACTTGTTGGCCATTTGTGCATTTGCCGTAACAATCAGTCGGCGAGTAGACACAGCTACACTGTAAGTTTGTCGCAAATCTGGGTTTTAGGAAGCTTCTGTTTCCAGAAAAAAGGAAAAAATTGTAACAGAAATTATCCAACAACCTAATATGTATATAATGTTGAAATTTTTACGCGAAAGTAGTTAACGCTGATATACTACAGCAAACGGGGAAGTATGGGCATATATAAAATGGAGTCGCTCATGTCAACATTCCAAAACTGATGGAAGAAGACTCTAACTTGTAATCAGCATTATCTGGAAATGTAGTAACACCAAAAACCTAAGAGGGTACTAATAAAAAGTATTAGATTCCACCAGATGGTAAGAAAGTGCAAATGAAAGAGGCTGCTGGATGAGAGATTTTGTACAGTTTGAGTACTTTTCGAGTTTTAATGAACATTGAAGAATCGCCATGTCAATTCTTCCTCTCAACCTAAAAACTTCACAAACTTTACAACGAGATTGTCAGGCACTTGAGCAGTCTTAATGCAAAAAATATGCAAACAGAACTATTATATAGCACCGAAATGTAAACACATATTGAGATCGTAACGTTTTTGATGGAAGCTGGAAAATCCTGGATTTGTTGTTGACTAGTAATCATCGCGAACAAACGTGTAGTACTTGACGCTATTACACAGGATCAGTGATATAACCATTCCCACGACCTGAAACGGAGTTGTCATGTATAAGAGATTCGATTGGACATCATACAGATAAACGTGATTGGATGGGATAAGAGAACAACTTTCCTTCCTCCTAAATTTAAAAAGTTGTTGAATTTCGTAGAGAGACCCACCATCAGGGCAGCGAAACCGAATCCAACTCCAGCAAAGATCCATGTTTGCTCATCCAACCATTTTAACAGCTTTTCGTGGCAGCCCTATCAAAGAAAATTCATTTCGTGATATTGTGATAAAATGAGGATTTAAACATGTTGTGCTTCTGTTTCACGAGCTACGAAGGAATGTGAGTGGTATGCTCAACCAAGAGTGGAGAATGACGGAAAGTAAAAAATTTGTGCCACTCGTGTAGTATCCGCAAATGCTCACTACAGTACCAGCTTCTACGGAGATCCATTAGATTGGAGAAAATATTGTATGAGTCACGGTCACTGGATAACGTGATAACAATCTTTATGGTGGATTAGCCTTGACTCGAAAATGTAGCCAGCAAAGTTGCTTCTAGTGTGACATACTCAAAATTAAAACCAATTTCTCGATTAGCAAATGAAAATAGTCCTGACAAATGTGTGTGACAAGTGGTTTTTTATAGAGATCTTGTGTGATGCAAAGACAACTTACAAAAGAATCAACTTACTATGACTGAAGCAGGCCATATGCCAGTCAGTTCTGCATGCAAATTAAACTCACTTCGTTATAGACAGAACTCTCGAATGCTTTCGAATCATATCTATATGTAGTACACATTGGGTCAATCGGAACTGGTGCCCAGGCTCGGCCCTGTTGTGACTGACGGCAGCACGATGGTGGTACAAATGAGCGTGTGCCTCGGTAAGTGTTAGTAATAAACCAAAATGAATTGTAGTAGTCTCGCGGCCCCTCGCCACCGCAACACTGCTGCTAAAAAACACGCTTGATATAAGACGGTATGATACATACAAGAGGACAAGTACGTGGTTAAGAATAAATCTGCTCGACATGACGTCATTCGTACGAGCAAGCTAGAGAAGTCCCCTTCGAATCCAACTTTGACGTCTCATAAGACACACGTCGAAAATTCACTAATTGACTGAAGTTAACAAGTCTGCAACATATTTTAGGTGTTAGAATTCACCAATATTTGAGAGCTTGCTTATGTTATCTGAAGGAAAAGTATTTGCTTACACTTTGTTGTTATGGAAAGATACAGACCTTGAGAATGAAATCACCACTGCAGACCATGCAGACCATAGCAGATGTGCTTCCTTAATTCATCCGTTCACTACAAACAACACTGCTCTCCCATGGATAACAAATGATATCAGACAAAGATTCGTGCGAGTATTGGGGCTGTACTAGGGCCTGTGTTTTCCAATCCTAACATCCTTCTTCTAATCACCGTGTTGTTTGTTGGCCAGATCTCTAGTGATCTTTTGGTAACGTTAATTGCACTCTCCTTCGAACTTACCGCAATGTGTCTCCAATTGCGATTAGGATTACTCTGCTGGCATCGTGCCAAACTTTTCGCTACAGGGTTAAGTGCAGAAGCTCCATGGATTTGGCGGCAGCACGATAGCGGCACCAAAGGAGGGTCTTCGTTTTCAAAAGCTGGATCCGTAGATACCAGCGCCATCCAACGGCTGGCCAGATAGTCATCTCCCGTGGTTGCACCACAGCATTCCTCCTGCATTGAGCTGATTTCACTATTCATTCTCATCACTTGCTTCTTGAGAACAGTATCCTTTACTCAGACAATTCAGATAGGTGGCTTTGTACGGTCCCCTTCAAGGGATATAACTCACATAAAATTGCAACTTATCAATCAGCACCGTGATTTTTCGGCTATCTTCGATTTCCATAGATACACCGTAAGAGAATTTGATAATATTCCTCAAATTTTCCTCTAGGCTTGACTGTGGAGATGTTAGCTGAAATTCTGATCTTCGCACACAGCGCTTGCATACTATGAGTATTAGTATTAGTCAACGATTAAGAACGTGACACTTGGATTAGAAAGGGACACTTCAAATGACCATTGTAGTAAAGCACGCATAGAACAAAAAAACTGACAATGAGAAGTTTACGAAATTGCACACTTACGAATTGTGATTGGACATTTATGGAAGGTAAGTTCGCAAAGCATATTGCCAACCAAAGTATCGCATGCAGATAGACCAGGGCTCGGCATAGCTGGCACCGGGTTAAGCTGGA